GCAGACCGGGGGAAGCAAATCTGGGCGACACAACCCCTCCCGTCATTTCAGCTCCAATGACGGCATCAAAACAATGAAAGCATGGCGAAGCGGCTCTCCACGACTCTGCTTTCGTCGGCGAAAAAGTTAAGAAACTCGACGCTATAAGCCCTCAGTACCGAGCCGAGCAGTTTGCACGTGACTTTTATGCAGTGTTTCCCACACATAGACTAATTCGCGGCCACAAAATCAACTCCGGCCGCCACATATTCCGTTTCGTCTCTCTAACACTCACGCGTCTCTCTCACATACACACACGCGCACACACACACACACCGCGTCTGTCTATGAGGCGCCGGACTGGACAAAAGCGAAGCGAACTCCGCGAGCGACACTGGGCGAGAGAGAGACAGTGTGACTTTTATTTAAACTAATATAATTTATTTTACTGGACAGTTTAAAGCTCATAACCATATTTTGTTGTTACTTGAAGAGTGCAGTGTCATGTTGCATCATGCAGTATTTGTCCTGAAAAGGCTACTGAGTAAATGTCTGTAATTTAAGGTCATTCCTATTTTATTTGTATACATTTTAATCATTAACTTTAAAAGCACACTCTTTTTATGACTAAAATAACAGTAAAGGGTAAAAAAAAAATGAATTCCCAAAAATTAAAACGGAAAAAACGGAATTTGGGAAAAAATAAAACGGAATTTGGGAAAAAATAAAACGGATTTCATAGGGCCCTATACACATAGAGCCTTGTGTTTCTGACACTTTACATGCAATATGACAATAAAGAGAATTTAGTTTAGTGCGTGCGCTGTTGGCTGTCTGTGCATTGCGTTTAGGCGTGTGTGCTCGTCAAATTTAAAAAGTGCCAAGGTGCCATTTAACAAGGTGATCTACGGTGAAGGTGAACATCACGAATACAACTAAGAGGTGAGTGGAACTTGTTTACAGGACCCGCCGTGGTCACATTTATGCCACCACAGTCATTTTGCAAACAGGTTATTCGGTCCTTGATGGGACCGAATAACCTGTCCCCCCCCCCCCCCTCTCCCTTGTACCTACTTTAGTAGTTTTAAGCGTCCTACCACAATTAATAATGATAAAACATCTTTTATATCACCTTTACTTTCCATTTCGTTTCAGTTCCCCTTTAAGGTGTAGATAAGATATTTATCTCTTAAAATCCATTCCTCAATAAATATTAGGTCTTATAATACCATTGACATGAACTGGACCCAGTTGTTAACCTCTCTGCCTAAACAGGCACAAGGCCTTCCTGAATAAACAAAAGGCTTTTAACAGTCGCCACTTGTCACCTGAAACAGCCCAGTTGTGCATCTGTTGGAGTCCTTGACAGTAACCTCTGACCTCACAAATATCCATGTGAACCAACCAATCAGTTCAACATGCATCATTGTTTTTAAATACCTCCGTTGTCACAGCCCACACTACAACGCAAAAACCCTGTTTTCAAATCTATCCACTTGGGAAAGCATTTTCAAAAAGCTCAGTTTTTGCAGGACAAAAACGCCATCTCAGTGTGGACGGAAGGCCAAAACGGAGAGAAAAAGATGTGTTTTCAAACAAAAATGTATCAGTGTGGACAGTACAGATGGTTGCATTTTGTCCCAGTGATCGATGACAAGTAAATTAAACACAAATTTTCAAATTGGTGCATTTCGGCATGTTTTGTAACTTTGTGAGTACTAGCAGCACCACTTCCGAAAACTCCACAGGAAGTTGTGAGGTCAAGCAGTTTGACACACAGATCGTTAACGGAAGGTCCTTGTGGTAATTACAGTACGTCAGGCAGGAAATCCAAATGTTCACCTATCATCCATCAACCTCAGATATGGCTTATCATTTGAAACCAAGCGGCAACCTTCCGGTCTCTCTCATGAATCCAACACGGAAGAGACTTAAACTGCAATTCATCATTTCATACAATCATCAAATAATATGGGTTGCTGTGCGGTTAATTGTACTAACAGACCTTTTAAGAAGTCTGGGCTCCATTTTTATTTATTATTTATAATTTTATGTAAAACTTTACTACACTCCAGAATACGACAGACTGTGATTAGCTGTAGACTGAAACCATAGATTGTATAAAACAGTCTGAAACGTTGTCATATAATGTTACGCATGCATTTCATAAATAGCGTAACATTTACTATCACAGACTAAATTGGAAGTATTTGTTTGACATGTCCCCAAAAATATGTGTAGGAAACAGGCCTGTAATTACCATAGACTGTATAAAACCAGGCACCTCAGCTCCACCCACATCCCGCCTCATTGCCCATTTTCGGTTATCCGGGAGTGACGCGCGGTGACGCTCTTGCCAAGATGGCGTCAGACAGCTCCGCCTTTTTGGCCTTCAAAAATTCTCTTCAGAAACCTACGGCTGACGTCATCGACACTACGTCCATTGTTTTATACAGTCTATGTTTGAAACATGTAAGTAGTAGCAACTTTACATGGCCGCTCACTCTAACCCCTTTTGCCCTGATGGTATTTTTAGAGTTGACATACACAAAGTAAAGACTCATAACTCCAAAACTATAGCAAGGAGAGTCAAAAGGAAGGTATTGTTTGATAGAAAACTTTAAAATTTGTAGAATTTTTTTTTACATTGGACATTCTCGTGCTGAGAAACTGCTGAAAAAAAAATAAATAAAAAAATAAAATAAAAAAATACACACATATATATATATATATATATATATATATTAATATCTTTCTTATTCGACATGCAATAACTCAGGAAGGGAATAAGATACAAGGGCAATTCTTTTGGTGAAGTTCCCTTACATGTGAGCTGAATCTGGATCAAATTTTGTGGTGAATTTGTGCATACCGTAATCAAAAGTTACAGCATTTGGAACCAAGGTAGCCTTTTTGTTTAGCCCATGACACCCCCTAATGGACATTTTTACAATTGTTGTTCCTCCGTAAGGAATATCTTGTGATCAACGCAATGGATTATGTTGATTTTGGACTCAGTTTAAGCGTGAGAATCTGCTGTAAGTAACGATGTTATGATCGGAGCATGTATTATGATGTTACGAAAACGTGACAAATGCCACATCCATTTCAGTCGGGAGCATCAACTGTAAGTAATGATTTGACTATTTCTACGATCTGTGCATGTTTCATGAAGTTACAAGCGAAAACACCACGTTAAAGCTACATTTGTTTTTAGTTAGGGCCTGTGGAGTTTTATGTGTCGTAACTCCGTGAGGAATAACTCATGATCGAAGCAATGGTTTAAGCTGATTTTAGACTCGGTTTAAGCGTGAGAATCTGCTGTAAGTAATGATGTTATGATCGGAGCATGTATTATGAAGTTACAAGCGAAAACGTGACATAAATGCCACATCCGTATATTATTTACATGGGTCTTGCGGGCCTTCACGTACAAAAACTCACTTAAGTTTAGTCAAAGCCCAAAACAATTATGCTTGTTGTATTTCTACTATGTGAGCCCTTTCAATTGACATATGACACATGACTATCTGAGCTGTATAATGTTTTTGACATATTACAGTATAGTACAAAAAAGAATTTCATAAATTATGAAAACTTTTTTTAAACTTATCAGCAAATAACTCAGCACTACTTAGGGGCTAATCAAATTGGCTACATTCATTGTAAAATTCAGGCTCTAAGCTTTCAAATGACACCTATTTTGTGTTGATCAAGGCAGTAGTTTTGAAAAATATGATTATTAATTAATTATTAATTAAGAGTTGATCAAAATGGTTATATGCATTAAAAAGCTGATATTCTGAGCTTTAAAATGATACCTGTGTTATTCCATTCAGTGGTTGCTTAGTAATTAGCTACTTGCCTCACATACATACATAGACACGTGATTCTGATGACGCGTGAAATTCAGATGGAGGGCAGGAAGTGAAAAGCAGAATGGACGAGATGGAGAAAAGTCCATACTGTGCTGGTTTAGAAAGTAACAGAAAATCACAACATACAGTATGTTGGACATGATCCTTATGTTATGAAGAATGTGAAGCTGCCGTCACGCCGTGTTGAGTTCTAGTCTGGCTTGTTTATATCGTGCTGCCTTTCTGCTAGTGAGTTTAGGGCAGTATTTAGATTTTCTGTCGTGATTGTGAAAATTGTTGTAGGTCATTATTGCTGAACCGAGAATTCTCCCTCAATGATGATGTGAGTTCCTATGGCAATTCTGCTATTAGTCGGCGAATGGCTTAAATGAACGACTACTAGTCGACTAAAAAAATCTTTAGTAGGGTGCAGCCCTAATTAAATCTGATTTGTTGCACAGAACTGAATGAAGAATAATATATTGATATTTAATATTATTATAATATATTTTATTTAGATAATTTATTATTATTATTAGATAATATGGTAAATGGACTGCATTTATATAGCGCTTTCACAGACCCAATGGCCACCAAAGCGCTTTATATTTGCCTCACATTCACCCATTCACTCACTCATTCATACACCGACGGGCGACGGCAGCCATGCAAGGCGCCATCCAGCTCGTCGGGAGCAGCTGGGGTTAGGTGTCTTGCTCATGGACACCTCGACACTTGGTCAGGCGGAACCGGGGATTGAACCACCATTCTTCCGGTTTGTAGACAACCCACATGAACCACTGAGCCACTTATTTTATTTTATTGGCTTGTATTTTTAAAATTCAGATTCAGTAAAATTATTTAATTTAATTAAAAAGTTTAATAATAATAATAATAATAATACAATTATACAAAAAGATTCAAATGAGAAATTAATATAAAACATTTTTTTAAAGTCATTTTCGGTTTCGACCCAGAATTTTCATTTCGGTGCATCCCTACTAATTAGAAATGATTATATATATATATATAGTGTGTGTGTGTGTACCACTCAAGACTTTGTCGAAGACTTTGTGTGATACGATTTATGGATAAATGAGAGATGGAAAAATAACAGACTAAATGAGTAAAGAGGGAAATAAAAAGAGAAAGTGATGTACTTACTGACGTAGAAGGTGCTGGGTGGTTCTGTGCCCTCAAACCTCAGGTCCAGAAGACTGCTTGTTTTAGTGTCATGACGAAGCCAGAGTGAAACCCCCAAGATTACACAACCAGCCAGCTAAGGAAGAGAAATTGTGCGACTTTAACACATTTGGTCACTGTTATTAAATGCACAAAAGAAACCAGCAAGACTTTTTGTGAACTTTATACATGACATTTTTTTTCTAATCTTTAAGCATTTACATATTTAGATAGTACTTTCTTTTTCATCTCAACATTTAAAGTGGTGTGTGGATGCATTTTATCAGTCTCCTTGGATCTATCTCTTGTAGTCTGCCTATTTTCCATTCAACAAAGAGAAAGAGAGACACATTCTCTGAGGCAGGGGGAGGGAGGGATCTTGTTACAGACCCCATCTAGAGGCCCATAGTGCCGAGGGTTAAGAATATCAAAACATCACTGTACGACCACAGCAGTATGATTCAACCCACTTTCTCTTTACACGGCTCACAGTGATGAGCATTCAGTTGAGTGAGGCCCATAAACACATGGCATATTCACAAGAGAGACTCTTGCGGCTAGGGGGAGGGAGAGATAGAAAATGGGGGGAAAGTAAAGAGGGCGTAGGCAGTCAAGAAGACCATTTAAAGTAGCGCTACAATGTGTGGTATTGTATGCGCAAGCGGATAAGAAGCGGGAAAGTTAAGGCGGGGGAGGGGCGTCTGCAGCAGTGGTTTATTTGGCTTTGTTTATACGACTTTATTTACAGCGAAATCACTGTCAAATCCTACAAGAGCTGGTCCCTGTGAGAGCAGCTGGATCTCGTCAGGAATGCGTAGGCTCTGTGGAAGAATGCAGAGTGCAGATAAAGAGGACTGGAGACCGCCAAGAACACGGTGGGTGCCGTTAGAAGCAAGGTGATCCGGCTACACCGCAAAGGGGAGAGTAACGGCAATGTGAGACAGAGCAAAGACCATTAGCAAGAATGCTGGGATGGGCAGAACGCGCAGCTGTGGCTGTGAAAACAATAGATGTGTCCTTCCTTCCTTTCCTTTCTCTCGTTCTGCTACTCCTTTCCAATCAAGAATTCAACACTCGCACCAGCTCTACATATGCGAACAGCTGCATTGCCACAGTTATTTGCTTCAGGCCAAACCAAAAAGCATTTGTTGGTGAGGTTCTTACACACCATACCCCCCTATAAAGGATCACAAGGGAAACACTGGGCACTTTCTCTTCTCTCTTAATGTTTTTCCCCCCCACCATTACTGGTCTTTCACACCTGTTGATGTAAAAAAAGACACCACAGCCTCTCCTCTACAAAATACATTTTGAGTATTTTTACATTTACATTTACATTTATTCATTTAGCTGACGCTTTTATCCAAAGCGACTTACAATTGCTATATATGTCAGAAGGTCGCACGCCTCTGGAGCAACTAGGGGTTAAGTGTCTTGCTCAGGGACACATTGGTGTCTCACAGTGGACACCAATCTCACAGTATTTTTAACCATTGTTGGTATTGTGAACTGAAACTAAAACGATCAAAAATTGTTTTCGTTATTTGAAATAAAACTAAACTAAAATAAATAAAAAACGTAAATGAAAAAATTAGAAATGTTGCCTTTGGAACTAACTGAAATAACTTGTTGAAATTGAAGAATTAAAATTACTAAAACTAAAACAAATTAAAGCTAAATAGAAATAGGAAAAAACAATGACAAAGGCACAACGAGATTACTAAAATTAAAATACGAACTGAAAATATAAAATTAAAATCCAATTCAAAATGTTATTTGTTCGAACATAATGTTTTAACTAATACAAATGGTTTTCTTGGATATTTTAATTATCTGCCTAAATTTGCAGACTAGCATGCTGAATAATAAATTTATTATATTATATATATAATAATAATATATAATAATAAAGAGAATAAGGAATTCTCTCTGCGGCTAAAGACAGAGAAGAAAAATCTTTTCCAGAGAGGGTAAAAGTGTGAGAGAAAGAGTTCTTTCCATTTCTCTTTCTGTCTTTCTCAGTCTCTCTTCCAAAGGCCAGATAGGCCCATTCCAGAGCTCAGGCAGCCCCGCTGCTTAGCAACTGAGTAAACAGAGGCCAGCCAAAGGGAGAGGTTCTAAAGTGATGTTCATGGAGAAGCTCTGTCACTTCAAGCAACCCGTTCTCGGTGGATTCCACATTACATTCACTCATACGGAGTTGGGGAATATCTGAGTAAACGGACAGAGATTCCCCTAAACACAGGAGTTTCCAGTTGACCAGAGGTGTCAGGGGGAGTTATAACCAGAATAAGCCATTATTCTTGTGGGGCGATCTGGGGGCATCCTCCCCTCTCAGTTTCCATACTTTAACTGAATTTATGTAGAAAAAGGCAGGAAATGCCATTCATTTTGTAGAGCCAAACACAAGGATTAATTTAATAACAATCTATTTGTCATACAGGATATTTGGCGCTATTACGAGCTATTACAGGCAATAATATTGCAATCCATGCTACAATGCTTTTAAATAAAAGCGGAGTATGCTCATAAAAACTTTTACTGATTGAATTAGAACATTTTTTGTCATTTTATTGTGAATGTTAAAACATCAAATGGCCTGTTAAAAACATGGACAGTGACTACTCATTGCAGAATTGTGAGTCATAAAATGCTTGGTGAATAGGCCTAAATGCTTTAAATGGTTTAATCTGTTGCTAAAAGTGCAAAAAAATATTTAGCAGAGTGCAAATAGCCAATACTAAGTTGGCATGAACTGAAAATTGTGACCGTCTTCCCTATTGTGACATTTATCTAAGTGAAACGGCTTCTCAAATGAGAAAAAAAAAGTAGATTTCATTTTGTCCACCAGGAATTGGTTGGATTGTTATTTGCTTACTCCTAAAACCGTTTCATGTGAATGACAGGTTGCTGGGGGGGGGGGACTGATTAAACCTCGTCTTGCTATTGGACAACCGTTTTGCCCAGCCACACACCAGACACGTACAAAAAACCTACTGGTGTCCTACTAGGTTTACAGGGTTTTGCTGGTGTAAGCTCGATTACATAAAACACTATTTAAGAGTTCCAACTTGTGTCTTTCGATGGAACAACAGAACACAAGACTTTATCTACATGAATGTCTTCCCTCCCGTTCTCAGCGTTTTTCTACTACTTTAAGTGTTTTACTGCATTTCTGCGGAGCAAACAGCAATATTTTGAGAAATACCTTCCTGATAGGGAAGGAAGTGTGACCCTGAGGGAAAGTATAATGGAGGACAATCCTCGTGAACTTAGTGACATGGCCTACTTACGCTGAACAGTTTCTCTGGCAACCGAAGAAGCCAGATTGAGGGCCTGGGTTTGACGCTGGGACAGTCTGGTTTGTGGGGTTCTGTTCTTGTTGTTCCAACAAGGCTGGATATGATCACGACATTGTTGTAGTTTCAATAACTTTACTTGAATAAGCCCCGCCTGCTCATTAACATAGAATTTGCATACAGGTTGACTTTGAAAATGAAAACGATAACTGTGAAATAAAAGAGGAAATAAAATGAAAACTAAACTTTACATTTAAATTTGAATTGTGTCACTAGTATTGCATGAGCATTAATAAAAAGCTTTGTAAAAACGGTATTTGCAGTTTATTTTTCACGTTTGCCTCCAGATTGTAGTGAAAATGAAATGTCAAATCACCAAATAAATTTAATTTTTAATTTGACAGGGATGATGCATCTGGTTTTAGTTTTCATTTTTCTCATTTAGCCTAATTGATTTATTCAAAATTGGCAGAAAATGCCTTCCATATACAACGGCCTACCTACATAAAGCTATCTAACCCAGCACAGGAAGTCAGCCATGAACTAATTTTCACCTTTACAAGTTGGTTGTCAAGGGAACACAAATAAAAGCCAATGCCCTGGGTTGAGTATACAAAAAAACTGTTTGCACCATCATGTTGCTTAATATTTCCTGCAACATGATGAAATGTGCATCTGCTCTCCCACGCACACTTCTCCCTATCTCTCACACACTGCTATCAACCTGTGTAAGGGTCTTAGAAATAGAGCCTCCTCAAACCTCTCCCATCTGTTGCCAGCAGTCCGGTGCGGGTTCTATTTTTGACCCATGATGACCCAGTGTGAGGTGGTTGTAGAATGCTTGGCATGTCAAAGCATGAGGCAGAGAAGAAGAAGGCCCAGACATTCTGTCAAACCCCCGCCACCATTCTGCATTAACCACAACTTACTGTCAAACTATTCCTATATGGGTTTGGCAATGGACTCTTAGATCTAACACCTTCTATAGGTATTTTTCCAACACCGTCTCTATGGGTCAGTTCTCAAAGCAACATTTTTCAAAGTAAGAAGCCATTATGCTGTTTTGAAATGTTCATTCACACTTGAGTGGTCTCACCCCCTGTTGGGCGGGCCTGTAAAGAAATGAGTGTGGGTGTTAAACCCATTAGCCAGCGAGAAAATTAATTCTGTTTTATGGTTGATATTGGTTTCTTGTTTCATCTCAATGGCTAGAATGGCAACCCATTCATGCCAAGAGCAATAACCTTAAAGATAACTATAACGATAACAATATTTGCATCCACACCAACGGACAATAACGTTTTCTTTATCCCAAGTGTGCACTGCAGTTTTTGTCTCTGCTGCTTTCAATGTTCAAGCTCTTTAAAGGCAGGTGGATTCTGATTGGCTCTTAATGTTTTCATCATTAATCGGCTGGGGGAAAAAATCGTTCTGAAATCGATTTAAACAGCATTGTTCCTCTGTGTTGTTATCGTTATAGAATAGGCTCTATGCACGATCGCTTCCGTGTTTTGTCTCAGCCCGCCCAGTTACATCCGGTGCTGCGTCGCAAGCCGTTTTTGCATTAGGTGGAGATAATGGCAAATTACACTCGTTGTTTACAAGAACTTCCAGCGGTTAACGTGAATGATGTTAACAATATTGTGAGGCAGTTAGCTGTCACACATAAGAGTAAGAAAGAGAAGGGCATTAAATTATATATTTCGAGCTACATCGACAACTTTGAGGGTGAGTAATCTCTCATATCATGCAAAATCCGACTAGCGAATCAGTTTCTAAAATTGTTGTCTCGTTTCTGAGAAAATGAATTTTATTAAAGTTTGGCCGCTAGTACACTTCGCTATAGAACGCGCTATGCGGAGGTAAAGACACTGGCTGAGATTCTACCGGAAATACGTCAGCAGCGTTCGTGCATAGAGCCAATTGAACTAGAACAATTATTACAAGCAACTTTATAGTTATAGTTATCGTCCTTGGTGTAAACGGGCCTAAACTGTATTGAATTCCTGTTGTATTGTTCATGAAGCCACTTTCTGGGAAGAAAAGAAGAAACATTTAGTTTTCGCACGTAAACCTGTGGTGGCCTTCTTTCTTACGTAATTATCAATGCAGTTACGCAATGTTCTTATTTCTTTGGTTTAGAAATAGGCTAACCAACCAAGAGACTAAATGTTAAATGTAAAATGAGACCTGATTAATCTACCAGCCATTTTGAGAGGAAAATGTGAATGCTTAACTAACAACTTAGAAAGAGCTGTAGATGAGACATACGATGTCTGTAGGCCTACACATGTGTGAATGATTTCCATTTAGACTGTTTGGTAATAGTAAGTTCCTAAAATGAAACGAGTAAAAAAAAAAACCCACTTAGAAATTAATGAAGACACAGGCAATGTCTAATGTGACTACATCTGCACGATGAGCAACAACTTTCAACAGAATCTGGCTATGGTGGAATATTTTAGTACCATTCACTTTTCCAGGTTCTTTTCCAAACTACAGCGAGTGGGAGGGACCAGACAACGCCAATTTATTACTGCGCTATTTATTCCTTCAATGTGTCGCCAAGTGTGAATTGGGAAACGATTAATTAGTAGCGTCGTTTTGTGAAATTAAAAACAAGTTTGACAGGCATAATAAACATAAGACTAGTCTTTGTGGGGAGTTTTAATAGACGACAGCTGTGATGAAGTCTTGTTGATGGACTCCTCCGCCCCATGTCCGTTATTTCGCTCTGAGGTCGAAAAAAGAGCTCCTATTAACGTTAACGTTATGGCTTTTTACAGCGAACTGACTTTATCGTTTTGTCTTAGCGATTCTACAATCTTTTGTCTTCTACATAAAACATCTGTATTTAAACAAATTCATGTTCAGCGAATTAGTCACAGCCTACCAGAAGTTACTCAAAATTAGCGGCGCAAGTCTGCGAATTAAAGTCCTGTTCATAACGGAAACCATGAAGGATACTAGTCATCTTAATAATAATAATAATAAAACAAAACAATAAAACAAAACAATGGCGGTTTCTCAGGCCAGACACAGGAACACCGCACAGAATGAATGACCACTTACCCAGAAGATGAAATTGAAGAAGAAGAGCATGTATTTAATACATTTCGTGCCGCCTTCAACGCCCATGGTGTCGGTTTTTGGAGGATGTTTTTTTAAGCCGGTTAACGAAGAAGTGTCTCGATGAAGCCGCAGTTACGCAGTGCTCGCGCAGACTGAACTTCAATCTCAGTGGCTGTGTTGCTGCTGCTGCTTGGAATGGATTCAGACGACATAAAAAGGGCAACACCCAGTTTCCTCCCCCTTAGAGGGTCCCCCTAAACACGGCCAAATAACACCATAGAGACCGTACAACAATATTCGGTACTAAATAAATATACTGAGTAGCCTAGACACTCGTCAACATACATAAGCTGTCTGGGTCATTTCTGAACATTTCGATTTTTTGTTTTTGTTTTGATTTCTTATTAATAGGCCTACAGCTCAAAAGCAGTGCTCTTTTATCCTCTGATGCGTTTAAGTCACACCGATTTTAAAATCGATTTGGGATGTTAAAATAACGATGCCCTGGCTTTGTTGAATACAAATGGCAGGCCAGGGGTATAAATCAGATTACAGAATATTTGCGTTTCACAAACAGTCTCTGGTTTCACTCATCCAAAATGGGTGGATGTCTCCACCTTGTGGCGGAAAAGGAAACAGAGCTTCAGAGATTTTAAACTGTGAAAATTATAAATCTGGATGCACTAATCGCCACCACAGAAACTTTATGATAACCTTTTTTGTTAAGGAGCGAGACAAAGATAACTGTGTTATTTTCTCACGTAAAATTGGTAACTCTCATATTATTATAAACATAATGATACAATTAAATAAATCATTCAAATACATTTTGATCCATATATTTTATGCCCTATATTCATTTAATATTAGTTAGGCCTACCCTACACTTATTATTGAAAGTAGAAGTGCTATAATTGCAGGCAGCTGCAGCAACATGTTTTACGCATGTGAAGAAAAACTTTGTGGAGACTTTACTATGATAATAATAATAATAATAATAATAATAATAATAATAATAATAATAATAAAAAGACCACTTTCTGCCGCTAGATGTCACTAATATTTCGATACAATAGCATCTGCTCACATAGTGACCAGTAGAAAAGCTGGTAAATCAAAATGAGTAAAGATAGGTTTAGAATATACGGTTTTTATTATAACATTTTATTAAATATTTCTTTTTATATAACGCATTGGCCTACTTTTAATTTAATTGCTATACAAGCAGTAGACGAATGCTATAGCCTATGGGTTAATGGGTTGCTGACAGTGGAAGTGATGCCCATGGGACCACGCACAAAGAAACCACTAGTGTGAGTGGACATCAATCCTTTGAAGCCTAATTGCTTTTCTTCTTCACCAGAACAGGATAATTTGGGATAAATCCCATTATGTTTTTTCTGAGACAAAGCATATGTAATCTGCCTTTAAATTGTCAGGAATGATGATTAGAAAAAGAAACAATAATATGAAGCTAAATATGAACTGAAAACAGGCCTAGTCACCAATAATGTGATTTCTTTAAGTTAGATCAAATTATGCACTTTGTTAAAAATAATGTTTCATGATTTGAAGTTATGTTTTGCTAATGCTTTTCAAAGATTACAAGGATTGAACGGTTATCTGACATCTAACGTTAATGGACTGATATTCTGATACATATTAATAAACAGGTAGCACTTTATTTTACAGTCCTGTTCCCCACACCTAATAATGGATGCAGAATTATTTTTTTATAGTCTTAATAAAAAATGTTTTACTAAACTTGGGCTATTGTTGATTACATAAAATATATTTTTTAAATCAACACTTTCAAGCGTAAGTTAAACAAATTTTAACTGACCTTGTTTCCATGGCGACGCGTCATGATTGTCACGTGACACACCGCAGCCACAATAACTGACAAATGTATCGCTATTCGCTTTTCGCTTTTATTTCATTTACCATGTCACATGGTCAATTATTCGTTTAAAAACCTTTATAAATGATAAATGATCTATAATATATAATTTGAACACTGGCTAGATGATTGATCTATAATATATATCAGTGGTTCTCAAACCTGTCCTGGAGGACCCCCAACACTGCACGTTCTCTTACGAGAGGTTCTCTCGTATTGCGTAAGCTAGCTTACGCTGCGGGAAAGATTCATCTTTGCTGAGATATTGAAGCCAAAAAATTATTTCATAATTTTGTATCCATACACAACGCAGTTCCTCTGCGGCAGACCTAGAGCGGGCTAGCTAGCAGCTCATTGGTTCGCTCAGAGAGAACTGCTTAAGCCTATGGGAGAGCGGGGCTGAACCCGCTTCCAATGAGAGAAGCCCGCGCGCTCATTGCGTCATGACCCGCCAGAATGGGCGTGGCCATGGTGTATATAAGGCGCTCTCCCAGGCTTATATGTTGATTCATTTCATCTTCAGCAAGCTGCACGCTTCTGCTGTTCCTGAGAAAAGCCATCGCCGTCGAAGAAGGCATCCTCTAGCGAGCTCAAGGACCCTGAAGAAGCCGGCCGTCTTCGCCACCTTCAGCCGCCCAGCAAGCTAGGCCATCCGACGATTGTATCCTTTCTCTATTTCTAAAAGAGCCGAGCGTCTTTTTAAAGATGTCTCGTTTTTCCTGCGGCTCTTGCCGCGCTCGTCTCGAGGACGGAGACCGCCATGTCATCTGCGCTCTCTGCTTGGGACTCGAGCATGCAGAACTCGCCCTCGCTGATGGAGGATGCGACCTCTGTGAAAGCCTGCCGTTATCGTCCCTGCGGGCACGACTTCTGGCAGTGAAAACCGCTCCCGCGCCGCCTATTCTCTCGCCGCGTAAAAAGAAACGCCGCTCTCAAAGGCCGCCGGAGCCCCCAGCGGAAACATGCGGGCCGCCGCCGCCGCCTCCCGCTTCCCGCTCTCCCTCCCCGCCCCTGCCGGACATTCAGTTGCCGCCGAGTGGCCGCTCTGTTGTTTCCGATGACGCCGCGGAGGAGAAGGACTCCTGTTCACTGCTCGCTTCTGACAGTGAAGACTGGTCATCTCTCGGATCCGCGAGAGAGTCGACGGGGACCCGCGCCGGGATAGAAGAGGAGCTGATGCGCCTCCTCTCACAGGCCGTCGAACGCCTCGGTCTCGAGTGGTCTCCTCCACCCGAGCAGGCCCCGAACCGAATGGACGGTAGCTTTTTTCATCGGCGCTCGACCCCCGCGTGCACCCGGGCCGCTCCATTCCTGCCTGAACTTCACGCAGAGCTGACAAAATCCTGGAATGCACCGCTCTCGGCTAGAAATCGCTCCGATGTATCCGCCTCGCTGCGCTCGGTGGACGGAGCCGCCGAGAAAGGCTATGCAGCCATGCCGCCCGTCGAGGACTTGGTCGCCACACACCTCTGCCCGCCCTCCGCTAGATGGCGTTCTTCACCCACGCTTCCTTCGAAGGCTTGCAGAGCGACCTCGAGCTTTCATGCTCGCGCTTACGCCGCCGCCGGTCAGGCCGCCGCTGCGCTTCACTCTATGTCTGTCCTCCAAGTGTTACAGAGCGATATTCTCCGTGAATGGGCCGAAGGCGGTAGAAAACCCCCCCCCCGCCGTCACGGATTTGAGAAGTGCTACGGATCTCGCCCTTCGCGCCACTAAAGCCGCCGCACAAGCTCTGGGGAAATGCATGGCCAGCCTTTGTGTTGCTGAGAGACACTTATGGCTCACGCTCGCCGACATGGGAGATTCTGAGCGCGCCGCGTTTCTCAACGCGCCCCTCTCCCCGACGGGCCTGTTTGGATCTGCCGTCACGGGAATTGTCGATCGCTTTTCTGAAGTACAGAAAGCTTCTCAGGCGATGAACTTGTTTCTACCCCGCCGCGCTAGCTCTTCAGCGGGCCGCTCTCACGAGCCCTCCGCCAGAGCCCCATCACAGCGCCCCCCTCCGCAGACTCAAACAACTCAGCGCAGTCAGAGCGGCCGCCCTCGCCCTCGCTCTCGCTCTGACAGCCGCCGCAGACCGCCGCCCCCCCGTGGCCCGCGACCCAAGATCACGCTGAAGCCTGATCATCAGAAGTCTGCCTAACAATGTCAAGAAAACGACGGTGCTCTCCCGCCGCGGCCGGACCGCCGTCAAAGCTTCGCCCTCTGCCAGTCCCCGTTATTTCGCCGACTGCTGTAGTGTTGACCGCCACAAACAAGCCGGTGTCCCAGCCCGCTTGCGAGCGACAAAAAGCCGTTTTTACGGCTACCCAGAGAAATCTCAAAAAGAGAAATTTTGCCAGTTGTGTAGAAAATGTGCCCACAATCATGTGTTCACCCATACACACAAGCATAACATATCCCGTGTCTCTATCAGAGCCTTATCACATGAAACGGGCACAGCCCGCTCTAATATCAGAGAACATAAACACGCCCACGAGCTCGTGCACGTGTCCCCTCTCTGCTCGCTCTGTGTCACGGCCCATAGACTCCTCTCTGAGTGCAAATCCCGTTGCCACACACATTCAAAGCGCGCCCACACACTGTGTCCAGCCCGCTATGTGCAGCAATCAGGGCAATACAGCCATTCGGCCACTAGCCGCATGCTCCAAAGCGTGGGAAGCCATTCCAGGCATTTCCCCGTGGGTGTTAAGCATTATAAAGAACGGCTACCTGCTACAGTTTCGCCGCCGCCCGCCTCGTGCGCGCGCGCAGCTCGAATCTTCTGTCAGCCCGCTGGCCGCCGGCACGCTCCGCTCAGAAATTGCGACGCTGTTGCAAAAGGGCGCGATAGAGAGAGTCCCGCCATCTATGACCGAGTCGGGGTTTTACGGCCGTTATTTTCTGGTTCCCAAGAAAGACGGCGGCCTCAGACCGATCTTAGATCTCAGGTCTTTGAACAAAGCGCTCATGAAGAGACCGTTCAAGATGCTCACTACCAGGAAACTCCTCGCGCAGGTGCGCCAAGGGGACTGGTTCATATCTCTAGACCTGAAAGACGCCTATTTTCAGATCCAGATAAATCCCCGTCACAGGCCATTCTTACGTTTCGCCTTCGAGGGTCTTGTTTATCAATACGCCGTTCTCCCGTTCGGCTTATCTCTGGCGCCCCGTACATTCACGAAGTGCATGGATACGGCGCTCGCCCCCCTGCGAAGCCAGGGGCTGCGCATTCTGAATTATCTGGACGACTGGCTGATTTTGGCCCAATCACAGACGGAGCTTCTGTCGCACCGCGCAGTTCTCCTCGACCATTTGGAAACGCTGGGCCTCTCTGTCAACTGGACAAAGAGCTCCCTTCATCCCAGTCAATCGATTTCCTTCCTAGGAATAGATTTGGACTCGGTCACGATGACGGCTCGCCTGTCTACACAGCGCGCGCGCAGTGTTCAGCGTCTAGCCGCCTCGTTCCAGATGGGCACCCGCAGGCCTCTGAAAATTTTTCAGAGGATGCTGGGTTACATGGCCTCAGCCTCCGCTGTACTTCAGCTGGGCCTTCTGCACATGCGCCCGCTTCAGTTCTGGTTGAACAGCCGTGTACCCCACCGCGCGTGGAACACGGGTCGCCAGCTGATCAGGGTTACGCAAACGTGTCTCACGGCGCTGCAGCCATGGACAGTAGCAGAATGGTTTCGCCTAGGCGTCACGATGGGGACCTTTTCCTGCCGAAAAGTCATCTCGACAGATGCATCCAACACGGGTTGGGGTGCAGTCTGCGAGGGCTCACCGGCCTTCGGCCACTGGTCGATTCAGGAAAGCCCATTACATATAAACTGTCTGGAAATGCTGGCGGTCGAGAACGCGCTCTCGCACTTTCTCCCGCGCATCCAGGGACACCACGTCCTGATCCGTTCGGACAATATGGCCGTGGTCTCCTATCTCAACCGTCAGGGCGGTGTCAGATCCAGAAATCTCTGTCGACTGACGCACCGCATTCTAGTTTGGTCTCAGAGCCGCCTGCTCTCGCTCAGAGCGACGCACGTGCCGGGCCATCTGAACGACGGTCCAGACATACTGTCCAGGAACCTCATCTCCACAGGAGAATGGTCCCTGAACTCACAGACGGTCCAGTTACTGTGGCGACTATTCGGCAGAGCAGAAGTAGACCTCTTCGCGTCAGAAGAGAACGCTCACTGCCCAATATATTTCTCGAAGAGCGAGGACGCGCTAGCCCAGGAATGGCCTCGCCGCTCGCTCTATGCATTCCCTCCGATCGCTCTGTTACCACAGGTAATTCAGAGGATCAGGGACACACGCCACTCGGTGCTCCTCATAGCCCCGCGTTGGGAGAGTCAGAATTGGGTTCCGGAGCTCACGCAGCTGTCACAGACAGCCCCGTGGCCCATCCCAGTCAGAGCAGATCTCCTCTCTCAAGCTCGCGGCACGATCTGGCACCCCCATCCACAGCGCTGGGCGCTGCATGCATGGGTGATCAACGACTATTCGTTGATTTGCCAGAGGGAGTAAGAAACACTGTCATACAGGCTAGAGCACCTTCCACGAGAAGGCTCTATGCGTCTAAATGGTCTGTGTTCTCAAAATGGTGCACCGACAAACAGCTGGACCCACGGTCGTGCGAGGTGCCGTCTTTGCTTGTTTTCCTTCAAGAGATGCTGGACAAGGGCAGGTCCCCCTCCACTCTCAAGGTTTATGTGGCAGCCGTCGCGGCGTTCGCGGAACCCCGACGCGCTCAGTCATTGGGCAAAGACGAGTTAGTCATCCGCTTCCTCAGGGGAGCTAAGAGGATGAACCCTCCGCGGCCCCCGTCGGTTCCGGTTTGGGATCTTTCTATAGTCCTTGAAGCTATGAAAGCACCCCCGTTCGAACCGCTCGAGTCTGTGGATCTGAAATACCTCTCGCTCAAAACCGTTTTCCTGACGGCTCTGTCCTCAGTTAAACGCGTTGGGGATCTTCACGCGCTCTCATCCAGCGCCGCGTGTCTTGAGTTTGGACCGAATGATTCGATTGTCATTCTCAAACCTAGGCATGGCTATGTCCCGAAGGCGATTGGTACCCCGTTCAGGGCTCAGATTATCTCCCTATCGGCTCTGCCTTCATCCGATAGTGAGCGCGATGCCAATCTCCTTTGTCCGGTGCGGGCTCTGAGATTGTACACTACGCGCGCTGCCGCGTTCAGACGCGCTGAGCAGCTTTTCGTGTCGTTTGGGGGGCGCACCAAGGGTCTGGCCGCCTCAAAACAGACACTGTCTAGATGGATAGTGGACGCTATCGCCTCTGCTTACGCATCTAAATGCCTGCCCTGCCCTCTGGGCATCAGGGCGCACTCCACTAGAGGCATGGCCTCATCGTGGGCATGGTCCTGTGGAATTTCCATTCATGACATTTGTGTGGCCGCGGGATGGGCCTCCCCGTCCACTTTTGTCAGGTTTTATAACTTGGAAGTTCCCGCCTTGCAGGCAAAATTACTAGCTGTCTGACGAACAGCTCTCTAAGAAGCTGCATTTCTGGAGGTCCCTCACAACCGGTTCGCCCCTTGTGCTCTCCTGTAATGCTTATACACTTCATGTGCCCGCTCTGCTGGCCCCATACATGCTTATGTGTACACTTCATGAGCCCGCTCTGCGGCCTCTTTGTACATTCACTCCACGTTAAGAAATTCCCCCGGTATATCCCTGGGTTTTTCATGAGTGGATTCGTAGCGCGCACGGCGTTGGCCAGGTGTTCCCGCAGCGTAAGCTAGCTTACGCAATACGAGAGAACCTCTCGTAAGAGAACGAATCGGTTACCTAACGTAACCTCGGTTCTCTCTAGAAGAGGGAACGAGTATTGCGTTCCCGGCCGTGCTTGCGCTACTAGCGTTTCGCTTCACGCTGAAATAAATCAACATATAAGCCTGGGAGAGCGCCTTATATACACCATGGCCACGCCCATTCTGGCGGGTCATGACGCAATGAGCGCGCGGGCGCCTCTCATTGGAAGCGGGTTCAGCCCCGCTCTCCCATAGGCTTAAGCAGTTCTCTCTGAGCGAACCAATGAGCTGCTAGCTAGCCCGCTCTAGGTCTGCCGCAGAGGAACTGCGTTGTGTATGGATACAAAATTATGAAATAATTTTTTGGCTTCAATATCTCAGCAAAGATGAATCTTTCCCGCAGCGTAAGCTAGCTTACGCAATACTCGTTCCCTCTTCTAGAGAGAACCGAGGTTACGTTAGGTAACCGATTCGTTTTCTTTGTCTCCCTAATCCTTGAACACTGGCTAGTTATGTAGGCCTACTTGCTCAAAAAATTATTTTGGATAATTTTTAACCCAAAAAAGTTACGGACTGGAGCATTAATGAATGTAGCCTAGTTTTTATTACCCAATACTTTCTTAGGTAAGTACACTGTACACGTAAGTGCACGTACCAAAATAAAGTGCAACATTCAATTTAGTAGGCCTAAGTAACTTCTTTATGAAGACGAAATATTTGTCTATGCAAGGGCATTTTCATACAACCAAAAATCAAATTAACTTCAAATACAGTCTATCTAAAAAAAAAAAAAAAAAAAGTACTTCTAAATTATTGTAATAAATTAGCAATAAATAATTTGTCAGTCATATTACACATAGATTACAGTACATTTGGATGCAATTGTTGTTTATGTCACATTCCGTGTTTTCAGAGCTGATTTTATTTTATTTTTATTCATGAAAACACACTTCATATTAGATACTGTGGTCGGTGCACTCATCAACAGTGAATTCAGGTATCTGACAGCTATGTATGCAGTCTTCAGAAGCACTACTAAACCAATAAATTAATAATCTAGTCAAATATTAGGCCTATAACTAATACAATTCTCTATATTTACCCCCAAATTTAAATATCTAGGGGGTGTCACCTTACATCACACTTAATATTATTTATTTTCTGGACTTTCAATTTAGCAAATATGTTTTGTGTTAGCTGCAGAGTGTAGGCTACACAGCTAGCCACACATCTCATGAAACCTGCAGAAACAGGGTGATGAGGGAAAGCACAGCATGGCGCAGCGCTTTTGCAAGCGTTGTCTTCTCAATTATATTGTATGTCGTTCTGAATCGAGCTTTCCACCGTCAGAAACCATCCCAATATCTGATCTCGTGCACGCGTAGACTCAGCCACTCAGCAATTGCGCATGCGCGTCGGTGGGCTCTAGAGAAGGCTCATGTTGTCTCTCCGCAGGAATGACGAGTCTCGCTCCACTCTCATCGACAGGCACGCGCGGAAAAGGAGACTGAACATAGTCTATTCATATGGTGAAAATAAATAGGATACGACCAATCACTTCCGAACAAACACCGGAGGACCTCGCCAAACTGGACATAGTGGAGACAAAAGAGGATTTTTAAAGGACCCCTCCTCTTCCACTTCAAACCTGACGTCTCCTGTGCAAGTATAGCTTCACATCCAGTGGCAAAACATTTTCTAGATGTGATGTCTGTCGTGATTGTCAACAAACGGCTTCTGGTCGTGGGCATCTGGACATGCTTTGAAGAAAACGACTGATGTCAGATCGAAAAACCGCTTAAAATGTGACCGTTTCTGTGTAGCCTCGATCCCTCCACTTTGTCGGATTTGAGGAGTCTACAGGGATTCAGGGCAGTGTATGTGTTTCGTTTTGGAAAGAGGAAAGAAAGCGTGCGCCCTGGAGCTGTCCGTTCAGAACCACACACACACACACACACACACACACACACACACGCACGCACACTCTGCCACCAGCGGTGCACCACAAGCCATCAGCCTCGCACCTCATCTGGACCTGATGGTGTGGAGCGCAGATTTATGACATCCTCTGCATGAATTTGGTTTGTTTAACATCTTTATTTTCTCATTTTCTCTTGGCATCTGGAGACAATCTCTTATTCACCTGACAAGAACATTAAACGCTCATGCACCGATTTCCTGCAGATGAGTTGCCTTTGCGCACCTGTTTTTCTGCGTTTATTCATCCCAGTCTCCTTTTTCAGTTGCCTATTAATTGCGCACATGTATCCTCCGGGTCTTTCAGCGTTTTAATTCCTGGCCCGGGCTCAAGATATGCCTAAAGGACGAGATGGGCCAGGGCGACGAGAAAGACCGTGTTGTGATTAACGTGGGAGGGATTCGACACCAGACCTACCGCAGCACCCTGCGCACTCTCCCCGGCACTCGTTTAGCGTGGCTCGCCGAGCCTGATGCCCACAGTCACTTTGACTATGACGCCCAGATCGACGAGTTTTTCTTTGACCGCCACCCCGGAGTTTTTGCACACATTCTCAATTATTATAGGACTGGAAAGTTGCATTGCCCTGCTGATGTTTGTGGCCCTCTTTATGAGGAAGAGTTGGCCTTCTGGGGCATCGATGAGACAGATGTGGAGCCTTGCTGCTGGATGACGTACCGGCAGCACCGGGAGGCCGAAGAAGCGCTGGACAGTTTCGGTGGAGGGCCACCTGAAATGGGGAACGATGATATGGACACGGAAGTTTTGGGTGATCCAGGAGATGGAGACGATGAACTTGAGATGACTAAACGCCTTTCTCTCGGCGACTCGCCTGATGCCAAAGCTGCAGGGTTTTGGCAACGTTGGCAGCGTCGTGTTTGGGCGCTCTTTGAAGATCCGTATTCTTCGAAATATGCAAGGGTGAGTTATGAGCACAAGTGCAGCCCTGTGTTCACTATTCGTAACACATCCAAGCACATGTTGCATTGGATAAGAATAGCCTGTCTATATTAAAGTGTTCTTGAATTGATGTTATGAGTTAGGCCTAATTAAAAAAAATATATTAAAAATAGCCTACAGTTCCTTAAAAAAAAATACACTGAACAACTGTCCGGAGACTGCAATAAAAGGTGAAGAATAGAAAGATATTGTTGAATAAATAGTTTAACGTAATCTTTTGCTATTTCTTGAAACCAAGCTGTGAAGCAAATATAGAAATATTTATTAACAGTTGAAACAATTTTTCCTCCAAATCCAAGTCATTGGGCTTAACCGAGTGATTAACCGACATGGAGGTAGCCATTTTGCCATGTGACAAGAAAAAAACATAAAATAGACATGACTTGTTTATACATGTGACTAAAGTTTTTTTCCCCCACGTCAAATTAAGTGACCCTATAAGAAAATATACTCCATGACTTAAAAAAAGAATCTTAAATCATAAAAAAAAAAAAATAAAAAAAAAAAAAATATATATATATATATATATATATATTTAATCTTGAAAAATATGTTTTAAAAAAAAGAAATAGTTGCACGTCCATTCAAGGTGCAAATAAAGTATAGTAGCCTATACATTTTACTTGATGTTACAGCACTTGTCATGCATTCAGAATGTTTATAGGATATGTTATAGGCTAAATTGTATTATTGTAAGACTACGTTTAAAAAACAAAAACAATTTATGAAACATGTTTAAAAAGATAATAACCTGGCACATGTGTAGATTTTTAAAGGATTTTTTCTTGTTATAATTGACATTATTTGAACCACGAAAAGCTTTTGTATGTCACTTCTGCTAAAAGGTAGCCTGGATGCCAGCCCGAACCCCGCCCACAAAATTTTTTGGTCGGGAAGTTCGGTCTGGACTCGATCCATTGAGGAGTAATTATGATCGGTTCAGAATTAGTCGGGCCAATCAAATTGCCAGGGCTGGCTTTATACAATGATGGACAGATGATCTGCAGTTACGTAATAATCACGTTATCAAAGAGCGCTTGGGTTGAACTGGTTTCCCTCAAAGATGACTGCAGCTGGAGAATTGAGATGTATAGATTCTGCTATCGCGTCTGCTGTAAAAGAAATCGACAGCGCATTCATTTTAAAAGACGAACAGAGAACTGCAATCAAGGCATTTGTCGATCGGAAAGATGTGTTTGCCGTCCTTCCGATCTTGGCGAAAGTTTAATTTATCAGCTGGCTCCGATGGTCCAACGCATTCTACATCCAACGCACATGGCACCCTTTAGCGTCAATATAACACGCTTCGGTTATGGGTAGGTTTAGGTCTGGGGTAGTGTTAGGGTTAGACCAATAGGAGGCGCCTTCTGGCCCATATATATCTGCGTCTCATATTGACGCTAAAGGGTGCCATGTGCGTTGGATGTAGACGCTTTGGCAAAAGCGTCAGTAGCCTATATGACGCCTTGGGATGAGAACGGGCTGGATGGTCGCTAAGAAGATGGGACGCAATGAAAACCCTGTGGTCGTTGTGGTTTCTCCTTTGGTCGCACTCATGGAGGACCAAGTAAAAGAAGCAACACATTATTTTACTACTTCTTCCAGCGTGCGTGCAGTTGAGTTCTGTTGACAATTTGTGTAGCTCATAAAAAAAACACTTACTGCGTTGCTCTGATTGGTTGTAGGTCTATCCAATTGAGTGCAGAGGGCTTTTTTTCCTGGTTCGTTTAAGACACGCCTCCTAATCAAAGCCCTATGGAGCAGTATCAGACTCACATTCTGACTAGAATATGAGTATGAAAAAAGTCAGGCTAGCTAAAAGACTGAAAGCTGATCACAATGCTCAGTAGCTATTGAAACAAACGAGAGGCAACTGGTTGTCTATACCCTATATCTGACAGTGTTTTCGATTGAATTATATTCCTTGGTTTCCCTTTAGCGTTATTAGTGATAGGCGAAGCGACTAAATTCAGTCACCCTGGGGAAAACATGTGCAGTCATTCCAGGCCTCTTGCATGTAGCCATTGATCGACAGGTCTTCTGACTGCAACACTGCTGTGCCACGCGCCGTGAGATGCCTTCCCCGCCGCGGGCGTGCTCGTGCACAAATTAATCACTCCGGGAGGACATTATAGAATCACGAAGCAAAGGCTTTTCTTTATTTATGTGCCCATGCTGCTTTGAGATAAGACACACAAGGCCGATAACATCATTCCGATCAGGAGGTCTGAGTGACAGCACTTGAGATGCTAGATGATTTAGTGTTACGTGTTGAGCTTTAGTTTGGTCCTGTCAGACTTTTATAGTGGGCATTAGCTGTTGTAATGTGTACTGTATTTGCTGTAGGCTGTAGCTCAAACAGCAGGGCTCTAGCAAAGCCAAGGTCATGGTTTCAATTGCAGGGAATGCAAAAACTGATCAAATATATACCTACTTTCAATGCAAAGTTGATTTTTATAAAAGTGTCAGCCAAATGTGGTCAGTCAGTAGACTTTTATGCATTCTGTACATGGCAATTAATGGCCAGTCTGGTTTGGGCAATTATTGAATTGGCCTGTTTGTTTTATGCCTGATGTTTAGTAGGAGTAAAATGGACCAGGACTACTGCCAAGATCTGGGTAATGCACCCTATTGGCTACGGAACGCTGATAAATGAGTCAAGGAATGTCGATGTACAGTTAGAAGTAGAGTAGATTTATGCCAGGAATCAGTCAATCAGATGAAATTATTCTGTGATTAGACAACATTGAACTTCGCAAAGCCAGAGGCAAGGGTGCTTGAAGTGTGCTATTAATGGAGTATTCTTTTGCAACAAGAAATGTATGACCATACAGTACCGCTTGTTTGTTAATTATTTGTATTTTAATTGTAAACAATAATTCACAAAACGTTCATTTATTTGATGCTATTTAAAGATTACAGGTTTCCATCTTCACAATTTTTCAAAATATGCAGCAAATGTATGTTTTGTTAGTTAATTTGGATGATGAAAACACTCACCAAAATATTTTTAATAATGTGGCACATAATAATATTGTTTTGAATATGAATAATTTTAATATTATTAATGTCGTTTCCTGTCATTATTTGTATATTCATGTTTTTTATGATTAATGTTTGTGAAGTGCTCTGAATCAGATCTGAGCAAGTCAGCCTTATAGCATACAATCAGTGAATCAGCTATTCAGCACATCTGAATTAATAATAAAAAATGAGTCATACATCTGAATGAACTGCAGGCTTTACCCAACACACAATGGACATGCCTCAGACATTCTTTATGTTTATTGTTCCTGCACGTGTGTGGGAGCATGATATTGAGAGCAAACGAGTGAAAGATAGACAGAGTTGTTGTTATCCCGTTGTCATCTGGCAGATGTTTGCGCTGGTTCCCAAAGGCACCTGATATTTTTATGTCCTTGGCAGGCAAGATGCTGCATTTTGCAGTGTATGTCTTGGGAATAAGTTGTCATGGCAACGGTTTCAGAGCTCTGATGAAACCGATGAAAGCTGGTCTTCCTCGTGAGGTTTCAGGAAAACGCGGCAAACTTCTCTGGAGGCTTTTTGATGATGATTTGTCTATGTACATTTTTGCCCCATGTGTCTGTGTTGTATTTCATATGAATCCATCATTTAGTATGTAGTTTTGTTTATCCAGTGACGAAATATAAGCTAATATATGAATAAAACACTGGAATGAAATAAAAATCTTCAAGCACATTAGAGAAAGTGAGAACTGTTATTAGTTCCCAAAGGTTTAGTTTGTAGTAGTTTATAGTAGTTTGGAGGCTAATAATGATTAACAAATAAACACAAACCTTTACCAGACCACAACTTATACCACGTATTATTCATACACCAGATGAATTATACAAATAACAAAGGCAATTTGCTTAAAATACAGCCCATACTCGGACGTCTTCCCAGTTGTGCTGTGCGATATTCCCATAATGTCCCATTCTCCCAGGAGGCCATCTAGGCCATTACATGCTCCACTGGACCTTGCCTTGTACAACAACATGAAAAGTGTTGGTAATTAATGCACTGGTCGATATGTGAATGCACCTGCTGGCTGATTCCTGGATGAGGGAATTGGCATGTATCCCAGACTTCCTTCTTCCTTCCAGGCTCTCCCAATGGAAGCCCCACCAATGTGGGACAGAGAATGGATGCTGCTAGGGATTTACAGTATCTAGTTATCTTGTCACACTTGTCTTGTGAGAAACAAAGCAATTCTCACTTTCCGCCACATCTGCCTGTGGTTAGCAACAACTTTTTTAACAAAGATAAAAATAAGGGAGCATGAGCTTTTTTAACATGAGCAATAATGAAATATTTATTTAGCAGATACATTTTTTCCAAAGTAACTTCCATTAAAAGGTAAAATAAGCAATGAATTATTAACAGTGCTGCAATTTTAAAATGTGATTTGATGAGGAAAAAGCTAGTTAAGTGCATTGCAGGTCTATTAACATTTAATAAAGGATTCAGGCCATCAGGGTTGTAAAAATACAGATCCAGTTAAAAGCTTATAGTGGGATGTGAAAGTATCAGTGACACTAACAAATGTTTAGGATAAACAGTAAGATTTTATTTCTGATTGTACGGAATAATATATATATATATATATAGGAAATAACTATACAAATGGAAATAACTGGAATCCGATACTGTGCCATGTGCATATGGGAAATAAAGTCGCAATAAAACAGAAATAGTGACAGATGTTTTCTTCTGTATTGTGGCGTACATCCAAGTGTAACGGATTATTGGAAAAGAAATGGGGCGAGGACTTGGTTCTATTGGTTGTTGATTGGACTTTACGATGTGGGTGTTACTCAAAAAGGAATAGAAATGGAAGTTTGCAGTCAATTCTGGAGGGGAACTGGTTTGTGGACTAAAGTAGACTAAATGATTGGGGAAGTCCTGCATATGTCACCAGAGTTACAAACCTGCGCACA